AAGGTGTGCATGAACATCAATCAAAGAATGAAGTTTTGTTATTTCATTATTTATATTGAGCCTTTTTCAAAAGGCCTTTTTTATTTTTTTGTAAATGGATTCTGGACTATATTTTTTTTTGGGCTTTTAATTATTTATTTATAAATACTCATGCATGTTTATTTTTTTATATAAATTACATTCCAAATTTAAATTGAGTGGGAACCTAACAATTGTTCTTAGTGAAGCATGATAGGCAAACCAATAATTTTTATGAATAATTAATAATAATTGAATATTAGGCTAACTAGTGTTGATTGGGAACATAGTGAACTTTTACATTTGTTTCTAATGTTGATTATCTTGATATTTAGATGTGCATATGGACATATTATAGATGTATTAAAATATTTGAGTCTATGTAGCCCTATTATCTCTTGATATGAGGACAACTAGAAATATTGTTGTTGAGCATAATAAGGACTGAAAAATTAATAACAATAGTTACGATGTCTAGAGCATGAAAATTCAATATGTCCTTAAACAACAAGAAGTACTAAAGACCTTGATAAATGTCATAAAAGAGCCCGAAGAAGGCCAAACTACCTAAGACGAAGGGATCGCGAGGCTTTTAATACCTAAAAGCAAAAAAATAAACTTGCTTGCATAACGTTGCTAAATGCGATGGTTGATGATGTAGTGCGATCCTTTAAGAATGTAGAACTTGTTAAGGATTTATGAGATTCTGTTAGAGAGAAATACGATGCAATTTCAATGACCAAGCTGAGACAACTCACCATTACATTTGATACTTTTAAGAAGAACTCGAATAATACCATGAAACATCATTTGAGACAAATATCGATTATGGTGAGTGACCTCAATGAATCTAATCATGAATTGATAGATGAGTAGTAAGTCCAAGTTGTCACATGCTCTCTTCCCCACAATTATGAGCCTATAAAGATGCATTTAATACACAACATAGGCATAAATTTTTTTAATGATGTTGCACACCATTTAGAGCTAGAAGAGGATCACTTTGTAGTGGATAAGATTGATGTAAAAGCATACATAGTTGCCTCTAACACTAAGTGTAAGTGCAAACCATGACATCATAAGAAAGAGAAGAAAGATGGGAATAAGCCAAAAGGTTGAATAACCTAAAGGTCCTATTAAAAAGGACAAGGCAAAGATGAAATGCTATAGTTGTGGCAAGAAGGGTCATTTCAGCAATGAATGCATTAAAACTAAAAACGTATAAACCTTTTATATACACGAGTGTGTTATGAATATTTTTAGTTCTATTTTACTAATTGAATCTAATCCTTTATGGATTGTAAACTCGGAGGCCACATGCCATATAGCAAATGAGATAGGGGCATTTGTAGAATTTCATCATATTTTGTAAGGAGTCAAGTGGGGGTATTCCAACAATAATAAAATAGAGGTCATAGGGATTGGCACATGCAAATTACAGTTGCGTGGTGGTTGAACCCTTCTTTTGTTTGACATCCCTTACACTTCTAGAGTAAGGAAAAATTTGGTTTTAGTTCTTGTTTTAATGGGTCGTAAGATTTCCATTGAATTTTTATGGCACTCGGTTGTCAATTATTTTTGGACAAAATTTTTTATGATTTTGGTTTTTTGATAAATGGTTTTATGGCTTTGGATTTTATTATTGATAATAATTTTAAGAATGATATTATTATTTTTATGATACATTTACCTCTACTAATGCACATTTATTGGATGCACTTTTGGGCCATTTTGGTCAATAAAGATTCGACCAATTAGCTCAAAAAGGCTTTTTAGGCTCATTTGATAAAGTAAAGCTCAATGTTTATAAGTAATGCCTAATAAGAAAGATGAATAGAAAACCATTTGGTAAGGAACTAGAGTAGAATTTCCATAACGAGTTAGTACATTTAGACATTTGTGGTCCAATGAATGTAAGGGAAAGGCATGGGGCAAATTATTTCATCATATTTATTTATGATCACACTCGTTTTGGTCATGTGTATTTGATAGCTCATAAATCTGATGCATTGATTTTTTCATAAAGTTTTTTAACCTTGTTAAGAATCAATTAGACCAAAGGTTCAAGGTTTTGAAAACCGACCGTGGACATGAATATTTTCTCGATCGGTTCAAGCATTTATGTGATGAAAAAGGGATAGTAAGACAATTGATTATTCATGGCATACCACAACATAATGGTTTAGTTGGAAGAAGAAATGGAGTTCTTCTTGATATGGTTAGGTTTATAATGCCCTAATCTAACTTGTCTGTTTCATTTTTAGCGTAATGCTCTTTTAATCATTGCCTATATTTTGAATCACATGCTCACCAAATTAGTTTTGTCCACTCCATATGAGTTACAAACAGTTTGCAAACCCAATTTGAGTAACATAAAGCCATGATGATGTGCATCTTACATGCATAATCCATCTCATAAGCATGGAAAATTGAGCCTAAGGGCAAGAAATATACTTTCATTTGTTACTCGGACCATTCAAAAGGTTATGCGTTTACTTGAACAACACAAAGATAGAGGGTACACTAAATTTGAATCTATGGATGGTGTATTCCTTAAGTACTAGTTTCTTAAAAAAAGAGAAATAAATAGGGACTTGTCTCTCTTTAAGATGGTGGATCACGATGAACCAATCCCACCATTGGTTAGCATACCTTTAGTTATGTTAAGGCCATCTTATCCAAGTGGGAGCAATTTGAGAGACAATGGATTTGTTTCTCAAGATTCTTATTTAAGGAGAAGCTATAATCATAGACACATTCCTTATTTTGATGATGTTGAAGGGAGAATTTTCTTAGTTTTCTACTATAAGATGATAAATCCAGGTAATTTTAATAGTCTTGTCATCTCTAAAAAAGAACACTAGCTTAAAGTAATGAAAGAAAAAATAGAGTCCATAAGATCAACCAATTCAACAATGTTTAGGAATTCGTTAATCTACCCATGAGATGAATGGCCATTAGGAACCAATGGGTTCTCAAAATCAAGCATAAGGTTGATGATACCATTGAATAGTACAAAGCTTGGCTTGTGGACAAAGGGTATACATAGTAAGAAGGTATTGTCTATGAGAAAAAATTTTCACCTATTATGAGATTTATCTCCATTCACCTCATTTTGGATATTATGGCAAGCCTAAACTTGGAATTATAACAAATAGATGTAAAGACTACTTTTTTCAATAGAGAACTTGAGGAAGAAATTTACATGAAATAACCTATAGGGTTTGTCTAAAAAGGCCAAGAACACGAGTGTGTAGGCTTATGAGATCAATATATGGTTTCAAGCGAGTCATCCGGATAGTGGACACTTAAATAGAAAATAAAATATCAATGGCTGAATACTAAAAATATAGTTTTCTCAAGAATTTTATTTCGGTTTTCTCACATCAAATGTTTATTCACAGTTTACTTGTTTCCTCTATCATTATTGTCATCGATACAAAAAATATTACACTTTAAACGCTCAAATTAAAAAACTTGATCACTAAACTTGTTTATGTTGATTCTATCCCATCTTAGCTTACTATAAGATGTTCAAAAAGTTAATGGCTATAGCAAGCAATTGTCACCCATGATATGTTGGTCAATTTTCTCGCTAAACGAGAGGAAGCAATTTTTTTTTTTTTTTAACTTTCTTCATTGGCTAACTATTTGTTCCGTAAATGACAATCATAATTGAATCTTATATGTCTTTTATTTTTCTAAATTTAATCTTAATTGAGCCTTATATATATATATTTGGATTAAATGACATAATTTTAAATTTGTCTAGACACGTAAAAGGATTTAAAATTTTTTAAAAGTAATTTTTAATAGATATAAAGTACTAAAAATTACTTTCGATAAGTTAAAAAAAAAAAATCCAAGAGCATGATATGAAATATATTTATTAAAAATTGTTGAACTAATTGTGCAATCTCGAGACAATAAATTTCTTTCCAAAATTGCATTTTTGGTAGCTAATCTTTAATTCTATTTCTATTTCAATGCCTAACCTTCATTTTATTTATTTAAGTGGTCATAGTTACATGAGAGTATAAGATGCTAAAGTGATAGGGTTGATAGCCACGTGGAATTTTTTAATCGTCACGTAATAGTTCTCGTTAAACATGTTAGTAAAATTGGACTTCAAGCAAACTCGGATACCAAAACAAATAAAAAATCAAAATTTGGATAGCAAATCATGATAAATCAATAGGAATTCAAAAAAAAAAAAAAAACAATAGCAGGTACTTTAGGAAATGTAACATCTATCATTACAATCATTAAAAATTACAGTAAACTACGGGAAAATGTCTTATTCCAGTTAGTAAGCTACGTACATGTTAGAGTAATGTTAGGGATATTAAGAGTCTTTTTACAAGACTTTGAAAAATAATTATATTTTTGACTTTGTCATATCTTGCAAAGGATGCAAGCACCATGTAATTTCATGGAAGGATGAGTGACACTTGCCTATGCATCCCTTATGCACGGTACATTAGTTTAAAATAATTGCAAAAGTATTAAGAAAATTTATTATTATTATTTTAAAATATATAAGATTGATATGAACGATATAGTTTTAAAATTGTCTTTAAAAAAATTAGTGTAATTAACATATAAACTGGTTTAAAAATAATTTTTACCCTAAAAACATATAAAAAAGGATAATTCTACAATCCCCTTTAATTTGTATGGCAGCCCTTGCAGCAATATGGCTCGAGAGATCTAATTACTTTGTTTTTTTTTTTTTTTTTTAATGTTATGTTGAAGATTCGTTTGCTCTAATTTCTTTTATTCTATCACTGCTATTATTATTAGTCAAATAACGTGACTTTTGAAATTCCTTTATGACGCAAGGTCAATGTTAGAGATGATTTTTGCATCCATTGACGGTGCTAGTCTGTGTTTAGTAATTGCCATTTCCTTATACATTTAATTGCTTCATCCACGTAAGTAACACAATCTCTCTATCATCTAACTTCAAACATTTGACCATCATGATAAAGCCTCTCTATTTTTTTCTACTCTCCCTCTTCTTCATCAACATTTCCTACGGAATTGGAGATGACTCTGATCCATCATCAGCAAACTGTCCTGATCAATATGAGTCCTGTGGTGATAACTTAACCATTAAATACCCATTTTGGCGAACCCCTAATGATTCTACCTCCAACCAGTATTGTGGTTATCCATATTTTGGTCTTTCATGCTCAGAATATGGTAAGACAATACTAAGACTGCCTAATGACCACACTTTTCTTGTCAAAGATATAAACTACCCCAACCATTCTATCACCCTCGTGGACATCGATCTTGACGGAAACCAACAGTACTGTCCTAGGCCGCGCCATAACCTTACTCTGGAAACCTTACCCTTACATTACTCAAAATCAGATTTGACCCTCAGTTTTCACTTCAATTGCACTTCCGGTCCATTTCCGTGGCCTCCTAAACCTCCCATAGAGTGCTTAAGATTTGAGGCAAAGCGGTCCTATGTTAATGTGTTAGAAGGGAATGAGAAGGAGCAAGATAATTGGTTTGGAATATGCGAGGAGCATGTAAGGGTGATGGTGTTAAGGACTCCTCTCACAAATAACGACATGATCACCACTGAGTTTGGTAGGGCGATGGACCAGGGGTTTATGCTGGATTGGGGGACGGCCAAGGAGTGCGGTGCCTGTGAGGCTTCTGATGGGCATTGCGGGTCCAGCGATAGTAAGAAGGATTTGTTGTGCTTCTGCAAGGATGGCAAAGTACGTAGCAAGCATTGTGGAGGTATGCAAATTTCTTTGTTTAACGTTATAAGCGCTAATTTTTGAATTACTAATATGCTAGGGGTGTACAGTTAAGAAAATATCAAGACCAGATAGACGATTGATCCTTTTTTGTAGTTAAGAGTAACTGAAATGGTAGTTTTTTGATAATTTAATTGCCAGTTGCTTTTATTCTTAGGTAACTAAGGCATAAGTCTGGTGTTAATTCTTTGTATAACGATGGGAGTGATATGAAATTTGTCTAAAAATTATGTGGGTCTGACAGCGGCACAGGTACATGAGGTAGTATAATAGTATTTGTCAATTTCTGTTGAGAAATTCAAATTCCAATCCTTTGAGGACCCAACTGAAGAAATGGTTTGTTTGGGGACTACATTTTTAATTACGGCTTAGTTGAGAAAATATTTTATAATGTTTTTATCCAAATGTTTTTTTGTGGATGCTTGCTGGGAGTAGGGTCTGATTGCATGATGATTGAAAAATTAAATGGTGAAATTTCAGTTTCTTACGACGAATTAAATGAAATTAATTATCCACATTATTTGTTCCGCAGGCCATAATCTGAAAGTGAGACGGAAGATTATTATTATTATTATTGGTAAGATAGTCCCCTGACCTCTTTCTGCTCTGTTCCTTCCTTTCTTACTTTTTTTTATTTTTTATTTTTCCTTGCAATTTGGCTCCACTTTGTTCAGACTGGTTTGGCTAGACAAAACATATTTAAGTAAACAACATTTTGCACTACTTATGCTTGGTCTGTTTCCTCCTCACCAAATTCATTGCTTTTCTGAATTTATTTTTTCAAAGCTTTCATGTATCTATTGAATCAACAGACCAATTAAAACCTCATTTTTCTGCTTCTGCTGCTGTTTGTGTATCATGACAATGTCACTCCCCTAATAACTCATTACCCTCCTCAACTGGCAGGAGCTGCCTCTGGATCAACAGGAATTTTATTCATCTGTATCATTCTTTATTCCAGAAGGAAGTTCTCATCAATCACTTCTCCGAAGAAGAAACATAATCAAGATCTTGAGGCTTTCATAAGAAACCATGGGCCTCTAGCTCTGCAAAGACACAATTTTTCGGATGTTGAGAAAATGACCAATAGTTTCAAAGATAAACTTGGTCAAGGAGGTTATGGAATTGTATATAAAGGAAAACTAATGAATGGCCATCTGGTGGCAGTAAAGGTCATGAAAGCTTCGAAAGGGAATGGGGAAGAATTCATAAATGAGATTGCAAGCATTAGCAGAACTTCCCATGTTAATATCGTCAGTCTACTGGGATTTTGTTTCGAGGGCGACGAAAGAGTTCTGGTCTGTGACTTCATGCCCAACGGATCTTTAGAGAATTTTATAAATCACGAAAATTCCTTGCAAGCCAGTCAACATCTGGGATGGGAAAAATTGTACCAAATTGTAGTTGGCGTTGCTAGAGGGCTTGAGTATTTGCATCGAGGGTGCAACACAAGGATTGTGCATTTTGACATTAACCCTCATAACATTCTTCTCGATGAAGATTTTGTCCCAAAGATATCTGATTTTGGACTTGCGAAATCATGCGCTAGGAAGGAGAGCACTGTATCGCTATTGGAGGCAAGAGGAACCATTGGTTATATAGCACCAGAAGTGTTCTGTAGAAACTTCGGCCAAGTTTCACACAAGTCTGATGTCTATAGTTACGGAATGATGGTTCTAGAAATGATTGGAGGAAGAAAGAATCATGAAGCTGAAATAAGTTGCAGCAGCGAAAAGTATTTTCCGCAGTGGATTTATAAGCGTCTTGAGCTAGACAGTGAATTTGAATTGAATGGTGCGGCAACTGCAGAACAAACTGAAATTGTGAGGAAAATAACAATAGTTGGCTTGTGCTGCATCCAGACAAATCCATCTGATAGGCCATCCATGAGTAAAGTGATAGAAATGTTGGAAGGACCTATAGGAGCATTGAAGATTCCACCATGGCCTTTCCAGTCATCTCCTCCAATATTACTTTCATATTCAGCCACTCCATCATCAACATGAAATTGTATCAGCATGGTATGAAAACAATGGTTCGTGTGAGATGAATTAACAGAGTCGATCAATGTAATTCTGTGGTATATCCACAAAAATAAGAAGAGATTCAGCTTTATTTAGACAAGTTATGGTCAGATTGATAACCACATTGCCCATATCATAGCTATAGGTTTAATGAGCCAGACATGGGACTGGCTACCAAGTCAATAATTCTATTCATGCTTTACGCATAATGATATGAAATGAATTTCTTAAATTTTCTTATTCGCCGAACATCATCCTTACTTCCAACAGTTTCTGTTGCGAGTTTCAGCATTGCCCCTTCTATTAATTAGCAAATTAGCAAATCCTCTCCAGTAGTGTTTCTACCGTAAATCTGCAGCCAACAGGAGCAACATTCTAGCTACAACTTGAACAAGTATGGAGAAGTGGATGATATTTCTCATCCACCTTAATTGCTAGAGGAGATGAAGTCACAACACAGGCCAGAACTGCTGAATTTTCAATGTCATTGAGATCAAGATAGTTGCTCAGATCCGGCTAATACGCAATAAACCAGCCGCTGTCCTGTCGAAGCACGATGATCTATTAGATTGCATCCACCATGGAGTCAATTCTGCTGCAGAGCAAAATTATGTTGAAATGAGGATGGAAATAAAAACAAGCAGTCTATCCTTTAGAAAGTAATCTATTTCTGTCAGAACTTGTCCTATCCTTTAATATCTGATAACCAATAAACCTACTATATATATGCAAGAGTACTAACTGAATTACAATTTTGCATTACAAAAGTAGATGTTTTTACAAAACAATCAAATATCCAAACTATTAATCGGCAGAAAAGTAAAAGATCAGATCAGTCCCAAAATTTCAACTTCCACTACTGCTCCAATAATATATGTACATCTGGTCAAAATACAAAATGCCAATCAATGGCAAATAAATAGAGACTGGCGCTATCACTCACTTCACTGCACATACGATGTTGTCTATCTTCCCTATATACTTAAAATTTAGTGAAACAAGGAAAACTTAATTAACCACTGCCATTAGGTGTTGTAGAAGTGCTAATCCATGTCACAGTGACAGTATCTGGAGAAGTTGGTATCGGATCACTCTTCAACAACCCAGCATTATCTGAACGAACATCTATCTCCTCTGCCTTAGTCTCACCGTCGTCTCCACTTTGTACGTCTTTTAGAATCTCTAACACTTTTTCCATCGAGGGTCTCAACTCTTTTGCAGATTGAAGACATTGAAAAGCCAACTCAGCCACCGCGCTAATCTTTTTTCTCGCTGCAAAATCTGATTCAAACCCAAGACTTGGGTCAACAAGTTCATTCAATGCATTGCTTTGGATTTTATTGATTGCCATGTTAGACAAATTAATCTCATGCCGGTGTCTAGAGATATCAACAGCAGGCATCGATGATATAAGCTCAATCAAGACCACCCCGAAGCTATAGACATCACTCTTATCAGTCAGCTGGTAGCATTGATGATATTCTGGATCAACATAACCAGGAGTCCCTTGTGGAGCAGTTGAAACATGGGTAACATCTGTGGGAAATAGTCGAGACAGACCAAAATCTGCAACTTTAACACAGAAATTGTTGTCGAGGAGAATATTGTTTGTTTTCACGTCACGGTGCACAATATCAGAATCATGAAGATATGCCAGTGCACTTGCGGTCTCTATAGCAATGTTCATTCTAGTAAGCCATGGGAGTGCACCAGGCTTTGCTCTTTCACCGTGAAGATGATCAGCAAGTGTTCCATTGCGAATGTACTCATATACAAGTAGGAGTTCTCGGCTGTGCCTAGAGGTGCATCCATATAGTAAGACAAGATTTCGATGGCACAAGCGAGTTAGAATGTCAACTTCATTCACGAATTGCTCAAGTCTCTTATAGTTGTTCTCGTATAACCGCTTGACTGCAACTTCACGCCCATCCAGAAGTTTGCCTAATAAAACGACACAAGGGAAGCAACTTTTTGAACAAATTGTTCGTTCAAATACAACGCAGAAGATAACGATCGTTAGTTCTTTACCATAATATACTGTCCCGAAGCCTCCATCTCCAAGCTCTCTAGTCTCATCAAAATTGTCAGTAGCCTCTTCAAGTTCTTCATAAGAAAAGAGATGGACACCGTTGTAGCTACTTCGGTTCTCCAAATGTGCCTTTGAAGATGGAACTGATTTGATGCTTCCAGAGACAAAGGACACATATTGCCTTTTCTTGCGGCGGTACCAGAAGAAGAAGGCTGTGAGCATTATGATTACGGTAGCAAGAGATGCCCCAAGAGCTGAAAGAAGAATATAGGGATTAGTTAGCATTTTCAGTAACAGTTTGGTGTGAAAATTTCTACAGCATTTAGAGATGAAAGTGAAGTGATTAACAGTGCATAGAAACATAAATAAATGGTAAAGAGAGATCATGAAAGTATCTTACCTACACGAACCTTCCGACCCATATTCATATTATTTCCTGGATAGAATAATACAAAACAATGAGCTAGGTGTTAAAATTCTCATTAAAAAGTTGAAAAAAAAAATTTGAAACTTTGGACTTCCATCTGCAAGATGAGAACAGCTTTATAAACAAAACTGAACCTTTCTAAAACTGCAAAATTCTAATGCAAATGCTCTGTATGCATAGTACATGTATTCTTGAAAAGATCAATCAAACAAATAGAAACATCTAGCTTTCCATATAAACAAGCCTACAAAAATATGGAAGGAAAGGAAGAATGCAAGCACAACTCCATTCAAGCATTGAACGTTTCATGGAATAGAAGTGCCTTTAGTGTCACTGTGTCAGGGATTGGCATCATTGTTCTGTTGTTGACTGTCTATGTAAATTCAAGGCCTAATTGAGAAACCAATCCAAACTCTCAAAACTTCAAGCTAATTAACCAAATCAGAAATGACTTGTCATCCTCAAGACTTTATGACCATGTTAGAAAATAGAAATATATATATATATATATATATATATATATAACAAAGATGATGAGAAAAACTAAATATTTGATGAAGAGTTACCATCGTCACAAGATTTGGGACGAGACCGATCATGGCAAAAACAAACGAATTCATTATTCTCAAATCCACAACGCCCACCACTTCTCTCACAAGTGCTACAATTATGTGCAGTCCAATTCATGAGGAACCCCATCTCCAAAACCTCACTATAATTTTTTCTAAGCAGACTATCAATATTTTCAGCAGCGTGGAGAGGAGCATTAACAAAACCTTGGCATGACTTCAATGAGTAATTGTAGTACATCTCTATTTCTTCCATGTGAAAACCAGCAAAAGAATAATGTGTAGAATTTGTAGCACAACTTAATGCATATAGGTAGAAGTAATTTTTAGGCTTTGAGGTACAATTGTAGAAGAAGGAAAAATTTGTATAACCAGGACTAATATTAAAGGGAGTTCTGTCAAGGCTGATGTTATGCGGAGGAGTTGGACAAGTTTCCTCATAGACAACAGCATTGGCCAAAAGCAAAGAATTGTTGGGATAAAAAATATCTTTAACGATATAATCATCATTGGAGATTGTGAGTACTGGTCTTTTGTGATTGCAGGTGAGCTCAAAATTTGGATAGCCACAAAAGGGTTCATGTTCATGAGATAACCAAAAAGGGTAGCTTATGTTAGGGCCAGAGCCACAGTTTTTTGGTTCACAAGACTTGAACTTTGGATCCTGTGATACAGTTTGGTTGGCTAAAATGGTGAAAGAAATGATACAAATGTAAATAGAAAGAAGTTTTTTGAATGTGCAGAAGTTCTTGGGATCCATTTGGAGTACTCAAAGAATGAGGAAGAAAGAAGCAACAGAAGCATTTGAATGAGAGTTCTACGTGGTTGGTAAGACTTAGTTTTAGAGTCTTTGAATTGGCAATGTTGTTGCTTTTGTTTATTCATGATAGAAAAAGAGGGAAAGGGCAAAAAACAAAGCAATTTCAACGGAGTTGCTTGTTATTTCAACAACCTTGGAAAATTCTAGCCATTCTTATGTGGTCGCAAATGAGTCTAATGGACGCTTGGTCCAGCCTTGGGTGGTGCCTAACCATGTCATGGAATGATGGAATTACAATGAGCATGGGACAAAAAATTGATGAGACCTTAAAGTTCTAGTCGAGAATATATGATTAAACGAGTAAAGGGTCAACGACTTACGCGGATTGGCCAACTGTTGAACATCAATAGGTCTATGAATGTCAAAAGGTTGAGGAGATATTTAAATGGAAAAGAAAGTGACAATTTTTTGGTATTTTGATTTTGCTTGAGTTGGTCACTATTTTTTGCATGTTTCGGAGAACATCAAGAATTTTGAAACGAATAGAAGTGCCCATGATAGAATTCTGGTCATTTGAAGTTGGAATTGCTGGTCAGATAGAAATTTGTACAAGAACTAAGCCAAACAAAAATCTAGCATTAAAGTTAACATTTTACCTATGCCTAACTATGTTGACGTCCAAGATGCTAAATAAATTAGTACTGATCTTGGATAGCAACATATTCCTTTGGCAAACACAGAATCTAATCAATGGAGCAGTTAGATTTAGGAAATCGTGCCAAACTATGATGGGCAAAATTAAAGAAGTCAGAAAAATAAAATGGAGTTAAACCTACCAAACATAAGAAATGGGCAGATGACTTGGGTGAGGCATCTTGGGAAATGGACATTGAATGATGGTATTGCGTTTGGGTGGGTGACTTTTGTGTCAGAATTGGCTAGTTTGGACCGAAAGTGTGGAAGAAAGGACGACTCTTTTGCAACTCCATTGAAATGGTTTGCTAGAAATAATGGTGGAAGAGGAAGATGTGCACTCTAACTTTCACCTAAGAATTGGCCAATGCAACGGTCCCAAGTTATACATGGACTGACAATCAGGAGAGGACTGGACTGACTGAGCCCATAAATTTAAGGATACAACAGAAAATGTCTCTATTTGGGCTGAAAGTTTGACAACTTACAGAAGTTTGGGCTGGCCTTTTTAAAAACAGGCTGAACTTTTAGAGCAAGCTTATCATACAAAATAATGTAAAAGATGGAAGCCATACCCATATCAACTAAAATTAGATTAAACAAAAAACTCAAGTTAATACGCACAAAAATATATCACATTTATTTACAACTATCACTTACCCACACGCATTGCATTCTAGTTTTAAATTAGATTCTAATGACGTAATAATTATGTCTTATTAAATAAATTTCAAAAGTCACACTAAAATAATTAAAGTATCGATAAAAAGGAAAAAAAATTTTGACATATTATGGTATATGACAACACTAAAATCAAGATAAATCCTCAAAATAAAAAAAAAACAAAAAGAAGTTAAATATCTGAAATTTATCAAATATATATATAAGGGAGGGGAAAAAAAAGGGAGATGAAAGGAGACTTTTCAAACAAAGCAAAAAGGAGTCAAAAAAACAAAAACTAATTCTCTACCATTGAATTGAAAAAAAAAAAAAAAAAAAACATTATTTATAAATAAGACTACCGCCCCCATATGAACCAAATATTTGCTGGATGCCATCTAGTCTAGGATACCATTTGGATATTTCAATTACTTGGAATAAAGTAAAGCGTAAACTAATTCTCTAGCATTGAATAATAATAATAATAAATAAATAAGGGTAGATATGACCATGACATTGATAGTCTTACATAACATGCGTTAAATTAAGCTGCTTCTCGTGGACCGTTGACAGCTTCAAAGAAATCATTTTCCAATAAGAAACTCAAGCTCACCTTCTCGTGGGATCGAGGCATATCTATAGGTCGTTACTGGAGAAATTACGAAACTACGACTACGAATTATCACAAACAAATCCTACATGCATGCCTTTAATTACTACTATGTATTATTCTAATCAGAGAATTAATTTAGTTTGCCTAATTGTTAATTTCCTAATGATTCATATCCAAACTGGCAGTAGCTTAATTTCGTGACAAAGCCCTCAACTTTTCTTCCTAAATATTATCACCCTAGCTAGCTAACTACTTGGAAAAATATACTGAATTAACAGAGAAAATATAACAAGAAGGAAAATGAAGGGAGATGTATATACCGAGCTGACCTTGACAGACAAAAGAATAAGGTTGGTCACGGCAAAGGCACATAAACTCTTTATTCGGATGAGTCATGTTAGTTCCACATATTCCTTTTGAAGCCATACATCCCTGGCAAATTGAAGGACCTTGGTCATACTCGTACGACACATTAAACTCTTCTCCTAAAACTTTCTCCAATTCTGGTCTGTCACCCACAAGTAGGCTTAAAGACTTGGATGGAATTGGAACTTTTATTCTCATGCTACATTGCATTTGGTCTAGCCCACTACTGCTCACCAAGATATCATCATTTCCATAGAACGAACTACCAGTATATCTACTGCAATATGAAATTCTGTTTTGAGGCAGTACCGAGCTCGAGGTGGTGGTGCAATTGTAAAGTAAGTTGAGGTTTTGAAGGTTGAGGTCATAACCGAAGATATGGATGCCACTGCCACTACTTGAATTGGCTGATATTTGAGGAGGACAAATGTAATCCTTGAAATTCACAAGCTGAAGAGACATGAACCTGGAAGATTGAACTAGATTCAATAGGCTGAATTTGAATATGTCACTAGCTATTAGAGGGTGCTGACCATCTTCACACGTGAGCTGGAACCCTTTATGTCCACAGACTTCAGGCCGATCACCTCCCCAGAAAGGAAAAGAAAGATCCTTCAAGAGTCCACAATTAAAGGGCTTTTTGCAGTCTGTATAATCCTTATTATCTTCTTCACAATAAGATGTCGGTAAAAGGATTAGAACAAAGAAGACGGTGGTGATAATGGGGTGGTGTTGATAGAGTGATAACATGAGAGGGGCAACCATTTTTTCTGGTTTCAAGACGTGAAAAGAAGAGTCTATAACTAGGAGATTGGGATTTTAATAGTGGTTCAGCCCATACATTATTTTATCATTTTGTACGAAACGTAAGAGATAGGAAGGTTGATGTTTGTACAATACAATGTCAACAATGTGACTATTATTTGTTTTGACAAAGAAAAAAAAAAAAAGTTGACAGTTGACTTCCAAGGCGGTTCTATAAAGTTTTGGCAGAGTGGTTGGCGTACAGGAACCAAGCAGAGGCGGGCGGTAGGCGTCACGTAATTGGCAACATGGCCAAATTTTTGTCATTAAATATCAGTGATCGTACGTGAGTTTCCCCTTCAGAATTTGACCAGTTGAAGATGCAGCGAAGTAGGTTCCTTAGAGGCTATATGCTATTCAATTAAGCCCTTCAGTGTTGAAAGAGAAGAAAAACTAACGTCGTAGATTCTAACTTTGTAATATTATTCCACGACGTGCTACAGTGTATTATGATAACGTTATGGTCCAGTTAAGACTGTCACGGCTGCGGAATTGGAAAGGCTGCTTCCGAAAGAAAGAGGTGCAATATCATGCCTTTCTCTTTATAAAATATGACTCAGACAAGGTCGACAAAAGTAGGCACAACATGTGCATAGAATTATATACGTAGGATTAGTATATATATATATATATATATATATATATATATATATGTTGGGACTCTACATTGCTCTAGAATGCCTTAAAAGGCAGTGGTATTATGATGCCTTTTCCACGTTCATTCATATTTAGAGGGCAAACAAGAAATATTAGATGGATATATAGAATAAAATGAAGTAGTAAGAAAGTGTTTTCCAAAACAAAAATATATTCCAAATGCATGTTTAGAATGAAAAAAGTCCTTAAAATAAGAGCCAGAGCGAAAAATTCTCAAAGTTCTAGTACCATCGTCATCACATCCTCAAAGCACTTATAGGTAATTTTTCCCTTTCCATAACTCTCTGAGAGCTTTTTAATAATAATTAAAAAAAAAAAAAAGGTATTGTATTTGATTATGTGTCCCAAGACATCGTAAAAACCACAATTTCTTTAATTATTTGAACTCATTATAATTATAATCTCTTTTCAAGTTACGGACTTTGTAAAATAATTTAATTAGCATAGCATATATAAAAGTTAAATAATCACTTCGCAGCTGTATTAATTTATAATATTATAGTAAAATTATGATTTTAAAAGTATTAGAGTACCATTGCAATTTAAAAATTATATTATTATCTTAAAAATAAATAAATATCACGTGTTGTGTGATAAGCAATTGATTAGAAACTATTAATTAAGTAGATCAACTTATTGTATAAGGAAACAATATCATTTACTTTGCAAAAATAAAAATAAAAATAATTAAAAAAATCATTTAATTTTAAGTGATTACTTACTAACAGCTATTTATGCTTATGCTCTTATTATATCGTAAATGTTATTTATTATTTCATAAAATTTTATCTTATTGTGTCATAAATTTAAAAATATCATCAATATATTGTTTTCAAATAACACCAAAACAATTGTAAAACATAGTAGTAAACTACTATTTTCTATTGGTTTACTAGCCCAAACATTTCCAACCAAATTGAGAGGGTAGAGAGAGAGTTCAAGAAATTTAGTGCAAAATATAATATATGAAAGAAAAGTCAAAATACTAAAAACAGTGAAAATTATCAATAAGTTTGAATTTATGAACCAAAAGACCGATGAGTTTCTTCAAAAATTTTCACTAATAAGTTCATTCTTTCATTAAAAAAATTATATTTCTTGGGTATTTTCTGAAATACCCTCTCATTAAATACATGAAATTATCCATTTACAATTAATTGTCTTTTTCTTTTTCTTTTTTTAAGAAAGTATATAGAGTTGACCCTTTATTTCTGCATTTTTTTTCTTTTTAATAGATTCTTTGAATGTATTAGTATCTTTATATTTCACTGTTAAATAATTCAACTAACTAAAGCAATTTAAAGTTTTTTTTTTTTTTTATGATGACATATAAAAACATCCGCTGTAGTTTACGGAGGAATAATTTTGGGATATGCCCGTTAATGAGTTAAAGTATAAAAAAGAAAGATGAAAAACCAAACAAGCAAACGTTGAAGTTTTAATGATACTAGTTCATATTTTGAATTAAGTGTTATTCTTGCTCCCTTTTGTTTCCCCCTTAATGATGATGAAATGTATCAAGAAGGGTTGAGGAATTATTAAAAAGAAAATTAAAAAATACAGAAATTAAGTCAAATCTAGTAAGTTATCTAATAAATTAAAAAATAATTAATGATGATGGATAATTTCTTATTTAGAAGGATTTCAAAAGGTACAAAAGAATTAGAACTTTTTAAGAAACAGAATTCAAAATATAAACTTATTAGTTAGTGAAATTTTTGATAGAAAACTCTCAAGCCTTTTGTTATCGAAAACTAAATTTATTGGCAATGTTGCCTAAGCTGCTATATATATATATATATACTTGAATAGCTTTTTTTTTTTTTAATTTGATGGTAACAGATATTTTAAAATTAACTTGCATGTTAACTGAAATAAATAGAGTAAAACTACAATTTTATAAACACAACATAAAAAACATGATAGTTAATTTGCATACCAAATATAAATTCATTTTTTTTTAATTATTTTCTGAAGAAAAAATTTTATAAAAAATTATTTATTTTTTTGTGTATTTGTTTATATTGTTATGTCATAGATAATAAACTGAAAAATATTTTTTGATGTTTTGTTTTTTATATAAAATACATCTATTTTTTATATGTTATTTTCTTTGAATAGAATTAACTCAATCCGTCTACCATCATGGTAATTATGACACAATATGACATATGTGCAACATGAATTGCAACTAAGATTAATAAATAAAAAAGTTTTTGTTTTAGGTTTATTTTTGAAAAAATATTTTAACCTTTTGAATTTTGATTAAACAATAATTTTCTTTGGCAGGCTTTTTGAAATTGCATCAAGCATTTCCTTCAAACTAAGCAGGCATATAGCAAAGAAGGATCAAAAATAAAATTGTAGAGTAAACTTTTACAAGTTTTTATGTTTTAGCCCCTCTTTACGAAATTTAATGTTGTGATGCCAATGTTCAACCTGATCCACGGCTTGTCAATTCTAGGTTTGTATCTAATTTTAAAGTAAAATCCCTTTGTGGAATTTTTTTTTTTTTTTTTAAGAAAACAATTATCCTATTGGATTTCCAAAGAACCAAAAAATCCTCCCTCAATTTTTTATGTCAGCATTCGTAAATAGGAATAATTAATTAGTTGAATTTGTCTTCTGTCATACCCGGATAGATGATCAAGGGATCATGTATCTCTTAATCTAAGAAACTTTATGTTATTTAAAAATAACTAATAATATTTACTTCATAGAAAAGAGATAGAGAGTTTTTTATTAAAAAAAAAAAATTGAGTTTAGGTAGATATATTTTTTATCATTTTTAGTGGTTTGGGTATGATTTTTTTTCTAATTTTTAATGTCTATCTCTCATTAAAATGAATTTATAGAATAAATATTATAAATTATGAATATTTTAAGATTTCATCTACGAAGTCTGGAATGTTTGGGTGGTTAATGGACTTGGATTGTTTATCTAGGTGAAGGCCATATGATTATGACCTCGAAGTCTATTGTAAGCGTACTGCGGGCTTCTAACCCAATAGGTTACGGCAACCCACATCTTTTACATAGTTAAAAAAATAAAAATAAAATAAAGAAATTATATATATATATATATATATATATATATATATATATCTGAAGAGTAATAATTTTGTGCCTCACTTATCAAATTTATTTGTAAGCAAACTTTTTGAAAATATTGTTAATTCTTCATTATGTGTTCTGAAACACGTTTCATAATCCAACCCAACTAAATCAAGTGTGTCCATATATATGTCTAGATTCGAACCAATTATATGGGTATTACTTTGGGCTCTAAACCCATTAAGTAATGAAACTTTGAGTACTAGGCTCACCTTCCCTATGTTGGGCTTCAAAAATATTTGGGAATGAGAAGGGCATTGGGAGTTTGAAATATAAAAAGAGTACTAGCGGTTCAATATTCTGTTAATAAGCTATTGACTTGGCTACATGTGTACGCATATGTGCAAAGAAGACTTTGGCGTCATAGAATTAAGGCAATTCTATGGTCAATGTTTTGCTTAGCTTCTATTACTATTGTTTTTTTCTTTTTCTTTTTTTAAGAAGAGATTCGAATTTCAGATCTTAAAAAAAAAAAAAAAAACTAATATTCACCATTAAACAATAAACTCATTGACATTGGTACTTTGATTTTTTGAAATGAGGAGGCTTTTGATTGAGTGAGTGATTGGTTTATTGTCAATTGAGGCATCTAGACATAAATTAATTTGATTATATTTATTGCTTATGAGAAGTTTGAGAAATCCATTTTGACCAATTCTTGCTTATGTTTCAAATTAACTATTCGAGGAAATCAGACCCTCCTGCCGTAATAAGCGCTCACTAAAAGATTTTACCGTTTATTCTAACATCAAATAAGTCAAACCTTTCTTCCATTTCACGTCTAAAAAACATAAACTTACCTATTGAATTTGAAGTCAAGGATAGGGTGACCTTACTATTTAATCAAATATTATATTCTATAGACGATAGTTTGAACAAATTGATAGTGAAAATGAGATTTTTTTTTTTTTTTTTTTTCCACTAAGGCATGAGGCATGACCAAATTAAAGCAGTAATTAATATGCTTGCAAAGAACTAACATCACAGCAATCACACTAATGTAAATAAATTGACTTAATGAACATTTAACATGGAAATTTGCGTACCTCCACATTGCTTGCTACGTACTTTGCCATCCTTGCAGAAGCACGAGAAACCCTTCTTACTATCGCCGGACCCGCAGTGCCCATCAGAAGCCTCACAGGCACCGCACTCCTTGGCCGTCCCCCAATCCAGCATAAACCCCTGGTCCATCGCCCTACCAAACTCAGTGGTGATCATGTCGTTATTTGTGAGAGGAGTCCTTAACACCATCACCCTTACATGCTCCTCGCATATTCCAAACCAATTATCTTGCTCCGTCTCATTCCCTTCTAACACATTAACATAGGACCGCTTTGCCTCAAATCTTAAGCATTCTATGGGAGGTTTAGGAGGCCACGGAAATGGACCGGAAGTGCAATTGAAGTGAAAACTGAGGGTCAAATCTGATTTTGAGTAATGTAAGGGTAAGGTTTCCAGAGTAAGGTTATGGCGCGGTCTAGGACAGTACTGTTGGTTTCCGTCAAGATCGATGTCCAAGAGGGTGATAGAATGGTTGGGGTAGTTTATATCTTTGACAAGAAAAGGGTGGTCATGAGGCAGTCTTAGTATTGTCTTACCATATTCTGAGCATGAAAGACCAAAATATGGATAACCACAATACTGGTTGGAGGTAGAATTATTATGGGTTCGCCAAAATGGGTATTTAATGGTTACGTTAGCACCACAGGACTCATAGTGGTCAGGACAGTTTGCTGATGATGGACGAGACTCATCTCCAATTCCGTAGGAAATATTGATGAAGAAGAAGGAGAGAAGAAAGAGGCAGAGAGGTTGTGCCATGATGAAGGTCAAATGTTGGATACACACGGATTGTGTTTGCAATATGCTAGCTCATGCCATATATATATATATATATATACACACACTATGTATAAGAAATTTCAAAAGCCTTCTTCCTAGTTAGCAATATTCTATTCGATGTCCAGATGCTTGTGGTCTAACATTAGTCTATCAGGCATTGGTGGACAAGAAATTTTAAAATACTCTAATATACTATGTATAAGAAATTTCAAAAGCCTTCGTCCTAGTTCCAGATATTCTATTTAAAAAAGTGAGCTCATATATATAATAATTATTGGACACCATTTATTCTTAGAATATTTTAAAATTTCTTGTCAACCAATGCCTTATAGACTAATGGTAGACCACAAGCATCTGGACATCGAATAGAATATCACTACCTAGGAAGAAGGCTTTTGAAATTTCTTTTATATATATATATATATATATATATATATATATAACAATGTTTGTATTTACTAAAAGTGATAAGAAGATTTTCATTTAAACTCAATTTTTTTTATTTTTAATTTTCTTTCTTCTATTTACCTCTCTTCTTTATATATATCTCTTTCTTATAAAATAATTTACTTTAATTACTCTATGAGTAAAATAAAAATTCGCATTGATGAACTAATATAAACTTCCATTCAAAAGATGTGTTTTTTTTTCTTTTGAACTTGTTTATTTTAATTATGAAGACATTATTTGAAGAAATTTTATTTTCTTTGAATAAACTAGGCTGATGCACATAATCAATACGTTCTTAAGATTATAAAGAAATAATAGTTTCAGTTCATACCTAAATTGATTGGAGAAATCTATTGCCATGGAATAAAAGGGAAAAAAAGTCTGTTAACAAGTGATGGAGACCGGACCAAATTGTCTTCGCCTGAGAAAATGGCATCTACGTATAGGACTAAGCAAAGACTAGCAATAAGAATTGATGCAAAAGTCATCTATCATGTTGGACTTTACGTCAGAAAGGAAATTCCGAAATTCACGTAATTTGACTAAGATAATAAAAGTGATAAGAATAGAATAATTAGAAGTTTTAGTTTCCTAATAAAACAGGGAAGAGACGACCAACCATATTTTAGTCTTCGTCAATTCGGGTTTTCGTAAAATTATTGTTCATTGAATTAAAACTTAGAATATACTTTTGTAATTGTTATAACAAATTACACTAACCCTAAATAAACTCCAATCTATGTAATGGCCAAGAAATTACTAAGTGTTTTGCCCGGAAGATTCACTTAACAGATATCACAGCGTATCCATAGGTCCTTTGTCTAATTTCTTCAATTGACTTGGGTAATCATCAATACAAATATGACCAATATTGTAAAAAAAAATAATTTTAAAATAGAAAATAGAGAAATCTCATAGATTAATTAAAAAATATAATTGAAAGTGCGCCGTGACCGCATCTTAAATTTATTATTTTCATACGTTTTGAAAAGTCAACGTAAATTAATTTGGATCATCTTTTAATTATTTTTAATAGGGATAATTAATAAAAAAACCTTATAAAAAAATCTTCTATCTAAAAAATCCATAAATTTATTTTCAAATCTATCAAACCTAAAATAATATTTTTCTTACTAAAACACCCAATAATTAACACTAGTGTTAACTATTTGTTGTTTTGGTAAGAAAAATATTGTTTTAGGCTTGTGACATTTAAAAATATTATTTTGTGTTTGAAAATTTTAAAAATAAAATAGTGAATTTTTTAGATAGAAGATTTTTTGGTAATTATCCCTAGTTTAAATAAAACCATTATTTTCAAGATATGTATTTCTATTATGGATGATCATGTTTTATTTAATTAATGCATCAAAATATGTTATACATTCATCTTGTAATTTAATTTAATTGATTGATAAAAAATGTTGAGTTATGATTAATTAAAAACTAGGATTACGGATGATGTTTTTTTTTTAATCAATATATAATGATTTAAGAAATCACTAATGTTCATAATTATACATATTCTTATTTTTCTTATTTGTATGATAACCCTTTGATTAAATTACAAAAGAATAACTAGAGTCTCATTTCATCAATATTAATTAGTTAAATTGCATCAATTGCTATAGTTACTAGATAATAAAATTAATCTCGTAATTAATGAAATAAATGGTAGATAGAAAAAAAAACTCTAATATAAGAAATTTTTTAATATAATAAAAAAAATAGTAGTCAAATGTTAGTGTTTAAAAGTCAAAGAACCTCAAAAACTTTTTTTTCTTTTCAAATGCAATAAAAAAGAACTTGACTTGATCATGAAAAATAATAATAAACATCAAATTCATTAAAAACTACGAAATGAGTTTATTATTAGATAAAAACTATATTAGAAAAAACTCTAAAAAATCTTCTATCTAAAAAATCATCAATTTATTTTTTAAATCTCTCAAGTCTAAAAATAAAAAAATTATCTTACCAAAAGACCCAATAGTTAACTAGTATTAAGTTGAAGGTTAACTATTATGTGTTTTGGTAAGAAAAATATTATTTTGGGTTTGAGAGATTTAAAAATAAATTGATGGGTTACTTGGATATAAGATTTTTTAGAGGGTTTTTCTGGTAATTATCCCTTTTTAATAATTACAAAAGTTTTCAAAAAAAAAAGTTTTAGAGAGTTAAAGTTTCTATTTGTATAACTATTTTGGTTAATTTTTATTTTATATAAAATAAAGAAAAACATATATTATATTTATTATAATACAATTTTTAATTGCTATACTTCTTTTTAGTAAAGTTTTCGAGCATCTCAATTGTTATATTGGTATAAAAATTTTATTTAAAAAAACTACTGTTACAAATGCAAAGAATTATATTTTCTGCTTCTATTGTCATAATCTCATTTGAATAGAATCAAAACATACAATAATTATAACATGAGAACAAGTACATTAAATAATATACTATTTATATGAGTAAAAAAAGACATTTAAAAACTAATAAATTTCTTATCTGGTAATAGTGAATTTTTGCACTTTGCAAAAGATTGCAAGTTAAAATTCTTTTTAGAAAGTAATTGAGCTTAAAAAAAAATTCATTACAAGAGTATGTCCGATAATACAATTGTTCTCTCTTTTTTTTTCTGTTAATTATTAACTACTAATTTATCCATTGGCTACCTAACTATTGATTGTGGTTTACTTGGTTCTAAAAAAAAAAATCAAAAAAATTATTATGAAAGGTTTTCTAAGGCTTTAAAAACATGAGAAAATATGGCTTCTTTTTTCATGTATAAAATTAGAATATAATATGGATTAATTTTGCATCGGATAAACATGAACTCTTATTAATTCTACAATTCAAATTCAGAAAAAAAAAAAAAAAAAAAAAAAAGACAACAACAACAATAGGAAGATGCAAGAAAAGAAACTAAAATTTTATTTGTTAATTAAGAGCGGAAGAAATAAGTAATTTTTTGTTCCATAATGAATTGAGAGATGTAATAAATTTTAACTTAATAAATTCGATATCACAATTCACATATGGTAATTTAATTAAAGCAAAATATAGTTAGTAAATATGAAACCATTGACTTAATAACAACGGTCATATACAAAATAAATTAAAGATAAAAAAAAAAAAAAGTAGTGCTACATGATACCAGTGGTGTAAAAAAAAAAGTCATCATAATTTTATAAGGGTAGTATTTTATTGGAAGAATACAAGGAAGGATACTTTATTTCAATGGGTATTATGTCATTTAACATTTTTACTTTTTAAATTTACCCCTAACCTTTTTCTATTTTTGAAAATGGTATTTGTCACAATGATGTCACCAAACATTTTTCTAAAAAATATTATGGAGACCTGTTATTTTATTGTTGTTGTTGTTCTTTTGGGCTATATAACGGGAGTAATTCTCTTTTATTAATTATATAATATAAATTGAAATTATTGGGATTTAATCTTATTTTACTTAAAGAAACTGCAAGATGCACATCCACTAAATTATTATTATTATATTGTTGTTGTTGTAATGAAGAGTTTTTCCCGCAAGTTTTCTAAGAACATACACATTAATTAATGTAAATGAAAGTTTTAACTTCCATAGTCAATAATATTAAATTATGGATTTTCTTCCATTATGAAAGTAAATTTACTTAATTACGAAAGCGAATCATTTCATTTATATTAATTAACGTGTGTTCTTAAAGAACGTACACGTCAGAAAAATTCTTTAATAAAAACTTTGCAAAAATCCCAAAGTACTAAATAGTAAGTACCAATTAAATAAAACAAGAAAAAAAACTAACATAACCGTCGAATAAATAGAAGAAATAAGTAATTGATTGTACGATAATGAATTGAGAGATGTAATTAATGTTATTATTATCATGATAAATTCAAGACACCATGTGTTAATCTTTCGGACATTAACTAGTTAGATACCCGCATTACGCTGCGATCGGACAACCGTTACATATGTAGGTTTAAAGATTTGTATAGTGTAATGCGAGTAGAAAATTTTATTTTTTGTGATTTCTAACAAAACATATAAATAAATAAAATATTAAAAAACCACCTAAATTGTATGAAACATATTAAAGTCAATAGATTAAAATAAAAACTACAACAAAATTAGTTCCAATAAATTCTGAATAAATATATATAAAAAGCAAATAAAAATTGTTAATTTTTTTAACACATTATTATTTAAAAAAAATTCAGTCAAATTATCTAAAATATACTTTTAGTTCTCTCTCTCTCTCTCTCTCTCTTTCTACACACACACACACACATATGTATGTGTGTATGTGTATATATTAAAAAATAAAACACTCATTTAAAAATATAAAAATAATGTATTGTATAAATTATAATAATATATTTTAAAAAAATAAAACTTTGACGTTCTAAAATTTTATTCAAAAATTCATATATTAAAAAACCAAATTTATTAACAAATAAAATTGTATCAAAAATTAAAAAAATTAATTTAATGAGAATTTTAATAAGAAAAAAATAATTGA